AATGTTCAACTTAAATATTTCATGATCTTTGGCTTCTTCATAACCATCAGAGAACTTTTTGCATGGAGTATGCATTTTGCTATTTGTTTATATGTAGTTTTATACTGTTGTTGCTGTTGAGTGCTGTGGAGTCAGTTCTGACTCATAATGACCCTGTATAGGGTTTCCAAGGAGCGACTGGTGAGCTTGAACCGCTGACCTTGCAATTCAAACAGACCTTGCAGTCCAGCGCATTAACCCGCAGTGCACACCGTTGTAGTTTCTTGTTAAGTGCTGTTGAGTGGGTTTCTAAGGAACAGCTGGTAGGTTTGAACTGCCACTTTGATGTTCAAATTGATCTTGTGGTCCAGAGCTTATCCTACAGCACCACACCAGGACTCCATGTGCACTCGTATGTCTCCCTAATTAGCTTTTAAGCATTTTAACAATTTCATCTGTGGTATGATAGGATATAATGTGGTATTCTTTACCACCTTTGGTATACTGTTGTGGTTAAGTGCTGTCAAGTTGGTTCTGACTCTTAACAATCCTATCTATATAGGATTTCTGAGGAGAAGCTGGTGGGTTTGAGCTGCTGACCTTATAGTTTACAGTCCAGTGCTGATCCTATATCTCCATACCAAGAGTTCGTGGCATACTGTTGTTATTGTTGAGTGCCAACAAGTCGGTTCCAACTCATAGTGACCCTGTATAGGGTTCCCGAGGAGCGGCTGGTAGATTTGAGCTGCCCACCTTGTAGTTCAAAGTGACTTTGCAGTCCAATGCTTATCCTATTAGCATACCTTAAATCCTCAAGAAATACTGCAATTGTTTTTAATAATAATTACTATTTTAATTTATTTTGTTTGTTTGTTGTTAAGTGCCTTCAAGGTGGTTCTGACTCAGAATGACCCTGAATAGGGTTTCTGAGGAGTTTCTGAGGTAGATTTGAACCACTGACCTCACAGTTAGCAGTCCAGCACTTATCCTAGAGTGCTACACTAGGACTCCTTTCTGATTTATAGATCCAACTTTTATTGATCACTTATTATGTGTCAGATACCATACTAAAAAGGAGCTCTGGTAGCATAGTGGTTATGAGTCAGGCTGCTAACCTCAAGGTCAGCAGTTCAAAACTACCAGCCATTCTGCTGGAGAAAGATGAAGCTTTCTGCTCCTATAAAGATTTACAGCCTCAGAAACCCTGTACAAAGTCTCTATGAGTCAGAACTGACTCCACGGCACACATCCAACCACCACCACCATTCTAAGTGACTTTCAAATATCATGTTATCACTGAAGAGTCAGCCCCCAACCCATGCACATGAAACAAAATATTGCATGACCCTGAGTCAACCCCATAATCTATTGTGGTTCAGGCCATTTGGAGCTATAACGTTTTCACTGGCTGCTCTTTGGCAGTAAATCACCAGGTCTTTTTTCACAGTCCATCTTAGTCTGTAAGCGCTGCAGAAGCCTGTTCAGCATCCTGGCAGGCAAGCCTCCACTGACAGATGGGTGATGCTGTGCATGAGGCCTTTTATGGGGAATCGAATCTGGGGGTCTCCTTCATGGAAGACGTAAATTAGTGAAGGCATACTATAATTACCCTTGCTTTATACATGAGGAAACAGAAGCAGAAAAAATGTGAGTCCAAAGTTACATCATTGTTTGATTCTAAAGCCTGAGTTCTAATCAATATGCTATACTGTTGTAAGATGCGATCGATGGATACATGCATTGAGTGTGCTTAAAGCGTTAGTTAAGGAATGTTTAAGATGTTGTCATTTTAAATATTAAACATATCAAGATAATGATGTGAGAAGCAGCCAGGTCGGGGGAGAGAACACCAAAACCTGAGTGGGTCAAAACCAACAACTGCCAACCTTTCAGGGCTTAACCATTTGTGCCATCCAGGGACTTAAAATTAACCCAGAGCTGAGTGAGTTTAAATGAATCCTGTCATCTCTCTGTGTCTTCTTTTTATTTGCAGACTGGGAATAATAGTAAACCCATCCGGCTGCCTCCTGTTGATGTGGTGAGGCAAGAACAAGACAATGGGGGTAAAAATGTTCCTCATGAAATCAAGGGTGCAGAAAGAGGCTGCTGCTATGTGCACAGCCACACCACCTGGAAATCTCCTTGCACAGAACCTGAGTGCCATTGTTTTCAAAAGGCTCTGGAAGGGGATTCTCTGAGCGTTTAGGACAAGGAGGGGGGTACCTGAATAAATTCATCTTTGAGAAAGAGAACAGTTTAGAGGAGTCATTGGAGATGAAGGTGGCAAAATTGTATGGACAAAAGAAGATAATGGGGAAAAGTCCATTCTATACCCAAACTTCTTTCTTTTTCCATTTCATATCTTTTAAAAATTGTGATCGCTTTTAGAGCTGAGCAGAAGAGAGGAAGGTAGGGAGGAGGGTGACAGGGGGGAGCAAGAAGCCTGGGTACCTTTGTCTTGCTAATGCACTTTGTTTTGTGGTGTGATGGGTTGTTCAAATAGATTCAGACCACCTCACAAGTGGAGAGTCAGAGAAGAGCAAGACAGCTCGAGTGGAAAGCTTGACTGGGAACAAAAGATGCACCTGCAAAACGCAGACGTAATCCTCTCCAGAGGCCAATGTTGGGAGCGCAATACCCAGCACCACCTGAATGAGGTCCTGGCAGTCTCTGTGTGTTTGCTTGGATGCTACAGTTAATTCATCTCAGAAAAGGGAGCTGCTCCTGCAATAAGCCTGAATGAGCCCAGAAACATAACAAACACACTCACCAAACACAAAAGGATCCGGGGAGAAATGCAGTATAGAAGGTGGAGGGGAGGGCTGAAAACGTAAGACTTCTAGAGAAGCCAAGAGTTAGTCATCCCTACAACTAAACTAAAACAAACTAGCTTCTAAATTTAAATCAGTATTTTAAGACCAACATCAGATACTCTCTCTTTGGCTCTGCCTCAGAGCCTTACTGGTTCACTGTGATATCAGCGGCACTCAGGTTGTAGAGATGGGAAACTGCAGGGTCCTCAGTCGGCAGTTCAGTGGTGCTCTCTCTCAACTGTACTTTCTCCCTTTCTTTCTTCTTTCCTTCCTTCTCTTTCCCTCCTCTTCTTCCCTTCCCTTCCTTCCCCTTCTTTCCTTCCCTTTCTCTCCCCTTCCTCCCTCTTTCATTGCTTTGCAGTAGATTCCTACCTTCAAATGAAGCCATCTTTGAAGCTCAACATGAGAGAGGAAGTCTGTGCTCTGTCTCTTGGGTCATCTCTTTACAGGCCAAGAGCTCTGTGAGTCTGGGCATGCTCTTACAGACCCTTCCTTTGACAGAAAACTGAAGTTCAGGATAAAGTGATTTGCTCAAAGTTAGTCAAAGGTGCCTTGAGCTCTGACCCAGTGTGTTTGCCACTATACTCTCCTATGAACCGACATTTGCAAAATGATGCTAAATTCGACCATCAAATAAAATGTGGTCCAGACTGTAGAATGAGATACTATACCTTGTTTTCACTGTAAAGTTACATAATTCCAATATGTAAAGGAAAATCGTAGCAGAAACAAAACTAGCTGAGGGTAGCATGGAGAAAGTAAAAGAGAAGAGTGAAGTGCGGGACCCTATCCAGAGAAGCAGCGATGCCAGAGATGGAGGCAGAGACGATGATGTGGAGAGACAGAGCAGCTGGGGACTCTAGACTCAGAAGGGAGAGGGGCTGTGTGCTGGCAGCTAGGAGGCTGATGTGCAGGGTAAACCCTTTGGTTTTTGAATGGTTATATATTCCCAAGTGCTTCAGTGTACATCAAAAAAAAAAAAAAAAAAAAAAAACAGAAGGATTGGAAGCAAATGCTATTGAATAATGATGCATGGAGGGGATTGAAAAACGAAACGAAATATGATAGGATGAATGTAAAACTGATGCTCTCCCATGTAAACTATCACTCAATTCACAATAAAAACTTATTTTTTAAAAAAGAAAGAAACACTAAAGTGTAAAGGAAGATCCATTATGTTCTATATTTCTTTCACACAATGTTCTGGTCATGAACTAAATATAAATTTTTAACAGGAAACATAAGGTCCTAGGTGATCAAACATGTGGCCTTGGGTCCCCATTTCCTCCATCACCCATGAGGACTCTGAACTGGTAGTAGATAAGGTTCTCCCCAGCTCTGAAACATTAGGTTTTGCTATACAAACATGTCATGGATACTGAAAGCTTCTGCCTTCAGTCTCTATTGTGGCAGGTATAAGCTAAGGAGAAAGAGAGGGAGAGAGTCTAGGAAGATAGAATGCCTGCCTTCTATTCATGCCTTAAGCCCCTTCTTAAATGTTTCCTCCACGGAACTGTTCCTTTTTCCTTATCATATTTTTTCACTTCCTCTTTGTTTTCCAAGAATCATTTGTTCACATTCTAGTCTCCCTTAAATCATTACCACAAATTAATTTTTTAAATGCCCAGAATCTAGCATATTGTGTGGAACAATAAATTCACTGTTTTGTTCCATAAATGAAGATGACAGGAAATCCTATTGTTAATACTTGCTAAAACACTTAATGGCAAAAATCATTTGCTAAAACTATTTTTTCTGTCTTTAAGCCAAACCAGCCCCCTCAATCACCTCTTTAAAAATAAATTAGCATTGATAAAATGTGCTTAAAAAAAAAAAAAGATTGTGAAGATGCTGAATCCTTGAAATAGTCTTTTCAACATCTTCAAGAGAGAAAACCTCTCAACTTTCAGTTTTAAAAATAAGTAATAAACATTTTATTCTGAGAGAACCTCCCCACTCCATGGCATAGACAACTGTCAGTTATATCTTTATGATGTGTTATGAAATATTTGAAAACCTTGTTGTATTTTTGCAACTAAAGGCCTAAGTGGGATAAACTTAGGCTTCTCATCTTAGGTGCTGACAAATTGAGTGGAATAAGGGGACTGGTGCACAGACCTGAGGTTCCCCACACATAGCTAGCAATATGGAACAAGATCATGCCTGGCACCAAAGCAAAGTCTAAGTGCATGAGAGAAACAGACTCACCTTCTTTAATACTCAGTCGTGAGGATTGGTCTGTGTGGGAGGTTGTATTATAGGCCAGCAGCGAACCTGGAAGGCAAAGAAAACTGAATTATAGACAAAAACAAATATATCATTCTGGGATCAGGAGTAGGAGTAGAGAAGGAAAGAGGAAAAGGGAATTATTCCTTAGGAGACACTGAGCTTCTGTTAAGGGTGATATAAACATTTAAAAATGGATAATGGTAATGGTTTTACAACATGGTGAAAGTAAGTGTTGTTGTTAGGTACCATTGAGTCAACTCCAACTCCTAGAGACGCTATGGATAACAGAACAAACCACTGCCCAGTCGTTTACCATTCTCACAATGTTTGAGTCCCTTGTTGCAACCACTGTGTCAACTCAACCCATCTCACTGATGGTCTTTCTCTTTTGAACTGACCCTCTATCAAGTGTGATGTCCTTCTTAGGGACTGGTCTCTTCTGATAACATGTCCAAAGTACATGAGATGAAGTCTCACCATCCTTGCTTCTAAGGAGCAATCTGTCAGTCCATTGTATATTCATCATGCTTTGCTACTACCATAATTCAAATGCATCAGTTCTTACTCAGTCTTTCTTATTTATGTCCAGCTTTTACGTCCATATGAAGAGATTGAAAATACCATGGCTTGGTTCAGGTAAAGTTTAATCCTCAAGGTGGCATCTTTGCTTTTTAAAAGAGGTCTTTAACAACAGATGTGCCCAATGCATCATTTGATTTCTTGACTGCTGCTTCCATGAACACTGGTTGTGGATCCAAGTAAGATGAAATCCTTGACAACTTCAATGCTTTCTCCATTTATTGGTCCAGCTGTGAGGATTTTTTTTTGTTCCTTTTATGAAGAGATGTAATCCTTATTGAAGGCTTTGATCCTTATCAGTAAGAGCTTTAGGTCCTCTTACATTTAGCAAGCAAAGATGTTCTATTTGCATACTGCAAGCTATTAATGAGTCTTCCTCCAATTCTGATGCCATGTTCTTTTCATAGTCCAGCTTCTTAGATTGTTTGCTCAGCATGCAGACTGAATAAGCATGGTGAGAGGATAACAATCCTAATGCACACTTTTCCTGATTTAAACCAGGCAGTACCCTCTTCTGTTTGAATAACTGCCTCTTAGTTTACATAGAGGTTTGTATGAACACAATTAAGTTGAATGCCTTTGCAAGTTAATAAAACACAGACACACACCTTTCTTGGTATTCTTTGCTTTCAGTCAAAGGGATATCAGCAATGATATCCCTTATTCTACATCCCCTTCTGAATCCAACTTTAATTTCTGGCAGTTGCCTTTGGATGTATTGCTGTAACTGTTTTAATACCTTCAGTAAAATTTTACTTACATGTGATATTGATATTGTTTAATAATTTCTTTATTCTGTAGTATCACCTTCCTTTTGAATAGGCACAAATAAGGATCTCTTCTAGTTGGTTGGCCAGTTAGATGTTTCTTTTTTTTTTTTTTTTAATGTTTTATTGTGAATTGTGTGATAATTTACATGGGAGAACATTAGTTTTACATTCATCCTATCGTATATCCTTTCATTGCCATGGTTACAATCGCCTCCATGCATCATCAACCAACCAAAGGGTATATCCTACAAGCCTGCCCCCACCCACTTCCACCCCCGCCCCACCCCCTGTCATCAGCATACAGCCCCTCTCCCTCTCTGGGTTTAAAGTCCCCAGCTGCTCCATCTCTCCACGTCATTGTCTCTGCCTCCATCTCAGGCATCACTGCTCCAGTTAGATGATTCTTGACACAGATGAACAAGTGCTTCCATTGCTTCATCTGTTTCTGGTCAATGCCATAAGTACAGCTTGGAATTCTTTCCTCAGTCCCATTGGTTCTTGATCATATGCTAACTCCTGAAATGGCTGGTACTGACCAAATCCTTTTGACACAGTGACTCTGTATATTCCTTCCATCTTCTTTCATCATTCAATATTTTACCCATAGTATACTTCCCTATTGGAACTCTAGTCTTGACGTTTTTCTTCAGTTCTTTCAGCTTGAGAAAGGCTGAGCATGACATTCCCCTTTGTTCTGTTAACTTTAGGTCTTTACACATTTCATTATAATACTTTGGCTTCTCAAGTCACCCTTTGAAATCTGTTCAGCTCTTACTTTATAATTTCTTCCATTCATTTTAGCTGCTCTACATTGAAGAGCAACTTTCAAAGTCTCTTCTGAACACAAAGTCACTGAATTGTACATGTAAAGAATGTTGAAATGGCAAATGTTTTGTTGCATACATATTTACCACAATTTAAAATAAAAGAGTAAAAGATGGAATGAAGAAGGAATAAGTAGAGAAGAGATAGGGAGAGGGGAAAGAGACTGATGACTTCTGGAGGGACAGAAAACGTTAATTTTTCTTTTTTAAGGGAGTGAGAATCAGGAAGTCAGTTTCCTGGACCTGGTTCTGCTACTAAAGTCACTGTGTTATTATGGTAAGTGACTTTTCATGTCTAGACCTTAATTTCATCATCAGACACAAATAAAGGGATTGAACAGAATAGAACTTAGTACTCTTTTCCTATATCAGATAGTAAATACTTTAGATTTTGAGGACCAAATACAGCCTAAGGCATACACTCTTCTTTGTTTTTGCTTTGTGATTTTTACAACCTTTTAAAAATATAAAATCCTTTCTTAGTGTAAGGGCAGTACAAAAGAAAAACAAAAACACAGGCCAGAATTGCTCAGATTTGGTCTGTTGGTTAGTTTTCCACACCTTGGCCTAGAAGATTGTTAAAATTTCTTCAGTTCTGTTATTTTTATTGATTTATTTTTATGCATAGGCCCATTTACAGTAGGGGAATTCATTATTGGTGAAAGGAGTTGGGAAGTAGGTGGGGGTGGTAATATTCCAAATAGTAACTTTTGCTTTCCTTTGCATATAAAAGAGTTTTAAAAATTTCTTTATCTTTTAATTCTATTTTTTCCACAAACTTCTTGAAGCACCCTCATAAGGATTCAACTAAATAAGTGGAGTGATACATTGAAGTTTCTGTCATCCCTAAGTGCTGATTTATAATCTATAAAAAATAAAAAGTTCATGTATACTTATTCAGCATGAGGTACAGGCATTTTGAAGGAGTGACTTTGCTTTTGTTGCAGTCTCCCCTTTTTTCTAAAACAACATTTGTTCCTTTGTTTAAAGTGAATTCAAGTATTTTATTTTATAAAATTTAGGCATTTGTCAGATTTTCCTTGAGATTCTTCTGAAGAAACCAACAAGTACTACTAAGACCAGGGTTAGGAGCTACTTTTACAAAATCTCTCGCCATTAAGTTGATTCCAACTCATACAACCCTATAGAAGAGAGTAGAACTGCCCTATAGGGTGTCTGTCCATTATGTACTCATTATGGAAGTACTGTCCTCATTACGGAAACAGACTTCCAGAGCTTTCTTCCATGGAGCAGCTGCTGGGTTTGAACAGCTGACTTTTTGGTTATTAGTTGGGCACGTAACCATGATGTCACCAGGATAGGCTTAACGTATGAAGGGGCTTCAAAGAGTCTATATAAAAATGGATTTGAAAGATAATAAAAATGTTCCACAAACTTTTGAAGTTCCTTTGATATGTTTGAAGGCTCAGAAAAACAATCTCTTCCCTGCTCCTGGTGACCTAGTGCATTCACTTTAGGACCAAGGCTGGAAATGGACAGGCAGAACATTCTTATTTTTTGTCTCCAGTCTAGGAACTGCTCACCCAACCATGGGCATTTGGCTGTGCATCTGAGATGAAATTTGGACCCTCCCAGGTCAGACAAAGAGGAAAAGATCTTTATAAGGCCTGTCTTCTGGCCTAGAACACATGGATTTAGCACATATGAGTGTCACTTGTAGCTCTGAAACAGTTCCAGATGTAAAACAAAGGGTGGATAGAGTCAAGACTGCTATGTGTCCAGAGTGTGGTTATGTGGACATTTAAGAACTGAGAGAGTCACATGAATGTTATACCTAAGAACCATTCTCAAGAACATCATTAACAACATTTTAATATAATTTTTATATATAAATTGTTACTCAGACAAGAGTTTGCAATTGTTGTTAGTTGCCAAGAGTTGGCATCAACTCAATGGTAACTGGTTATTTTAGTATGGTTGTTGAAAAGATTAAATAAAATAATGCATATAAAGTGTTCAGAACAGACCCTGGCTCATAATATGTATCTGTTATGGACTGGGTTGTGCTCGCCAAAATTGTTGTTAAGGGCCATCAAGTTGGTTCCAACTCATAGTAACCCTGTATAGGGCTTCCAAGGTTTTAAATCTTTGCAGACACAGAAAGCCTTATCTTTCTCCCATAGAGTGACTGGTGGACTGGACTGGAACAGCTGACCTTGTGATTCGCAGTCCAGTGATTATCATATGGAGCCACCGTGCTCCCTGTTCCCAAAAATATGTGTTGTAAATCCTGACTTCTATACTCAGACGTGTATTTATAATCTCATTTGGGAATGGGTTTTCTTCTTTATGATAATGTAACAGTATTAGCTTAGGATGTGCTTTTAATCAATATATTTTGAGATATAAAAGGAGATCATGCAAGGAAGTAAATATGGGAGACTAGAGAAACCATGCCACATGAACATTGCCAATGATTCAAGGAATAGAAGCTGAAGAGATAAGGACTTTTCCCCAGAGGCAACAGAGGGTGCCTTCCCCTGTAGCACCCTGATCTCAGATATCTAACTTCCCAACAAAACACTGGATTGCAAGGTCAGTTTGAACTACAAGATTGGTAGTTCAAACTTACCAGTCGCTCCTTGAAAATCCTATACAGGGTTGCTATGAGTCAGAACTGATTTGATAGCACTTAACAACAACAAACTACAAGAAAATAAATTTGTATGCTAAAGCCACCCACTATGGCTTTCAGTACTAAAAACTAAAACAGCAATAAAGGCTAGCTCCTGATAATACTATTTGTATACCCCTTCCTCCCACGGACATCACAACAACATGCTTATCTTCAATGCCTCCTCTAAGAAAGCTTGATGAGCTTTAGTGTTGCCCTCTGGCACTGGAATTATGA